AGTGCTGTCATATCGGATAGCCAGCGGTGAGGGGGAGAGAAGCCGCCCCCAGGATGAGCTGTGTCGGCCGCACGGCGCCCTTGTTGCCATGGCGCCCTGTGCGGCCGGTGAGCTCGCACACCCCTAAGGCCGGCCCTGAGCATGCATATGACTCAGCAGACGCTGTTCTCTTTGCTCAATAACTACCATTTCCAGACAGAGTGATAATTTAGTGCTGTGTTCTCCACATTCCCTACTCTGCTGGCATAAATAGAATGCTCAGGGCAACCTGAATCTTCATATTGATTCCTACATCAGGCCAGAAAGACCTCTTCCCGTGGTGGGTGGACACCTGAAATCCCACCCCTCCCCACCATCCATGTTAAAACTCTAGTTTGAACTACAAAAAAATTAAAGCGTAAGATTCTCATTTGTGACTATGGCTGCCAAGTCTCTTACCTAGTGATGTCACTAGCAAGAATACACTCCAGCACTGTGTAGGAGCCTCTGCTTTCCCAGTGATATCACCAGTGCTAAGGAGAGGTTATGCTTAGCGACATCGTCAGTGCCTGGGAGAGGGGACTGGAAGCCATGATCTGACTTGCATTTTCATATAAGGTTCTCTTAAATCCAATGTTCTTAAAATTGCATTCCCTTTTCAATCTACAGCCAGCCACAATTTTCTTTGACCATGAAAATTTCAGGTTATCTGATCTTTCCACCAAGGCAGCAGAATTCACTTTATGAACTACATTTCCTAGAAACCTCCTCCCCTTGATTTTTGTTATTGGCTCCCTGTACCTCCCAAAAATAAAACCACACAGAACCTAAGCTTAACGTACAGCCAACCTGCAGCATTAATTTTAACATACTGCAGTGCTATTTGGTTTATTGCTTTATCTGTTGCTTACATATGCTGGGGGGTTTAGTGTTTTGGTTTTTTTTTGTTTAGTGCTGTTTCAATATCTACAGAAAAGGAGACGACATCAGTTTGCATTAAAGTTGACTAAAATAAATTATGTATAATGCTAATTTAGAGTTGCCCTTTAGCCTCAGCCTACGATTAATGTATTTGTTAAAGTAAGTTGGTCTTTAAAAAGGCCCAGTCTAACAGTTAAAAAAAAAATCAAATGCAAACAATATTTGCCACTTGTAACCTATTCAAGATGATAGTTTTAAACGGAGAGAATATGTGTCTCCTTTAGGCACATACTATTTCACAGGAATTTGAAGTAATCCAAAAAAGGCAAATATTAAATAGTAAATTATCCTCTATAACCCTTCATTATATTAGAATTAATTAATCAATGCATCTAATAACATTTCAGATGTGACATTAGGAATGCTTGCACTGGGTTTTTAAATGAGCGAAAGCAGAGAAAAGCTGTGATTTGCAGGAGTTGAGATGTTTAATCTCTCTGTGGTTTTAACAGCTTTGTTTTTCAGACTGTGAGGGGTGGGTACATTTTTAGGTAGCACACAGAGTTCAGATATGCTTCAGGAAGCTAGGGTTTGACTCACAAATTATTTCTGTTCTAAAAAGTGGTTATTTTTTCTAAGAAATATTGTAGCATGGTAGACACCTAATGCAATCAGTGAAAATATTTTTGTTCATCTGTGGACATAGGTCTTAATAGTGAGGAAGCCACTATTCATCTACTGTTGAATGGAAAAAAAATTATATATATGCTCCACTCAAACTTCATACTAAAATACTTTCCAAAACAAAAGCCTGTAGAGTGAGACCATCGCTCTCTGGGCAACTAGTGGTCTTATTACATAGGTCAGATCAGCCCCCTACAGAGTCAGACATATAGCTCTGCAGTCTTTTGCAAAGCTAATGTGTCCTGATCATTGGAGAGCTATAGCCCTGACTTATCAGGGGTGTGTTGGACACCTGCATAAAGATGACTGCTTCACTATAGAGAGAAAGGGCTATTTTCTACAGCATGCTATAGATGTTTTGAAAATGAAGTACATGCTTGCATTTCTTAATTTTTTTTTACACATCTATGCACTTGTGAAATTTTTCATTCCTACAAAACTGAGATATCACAGACATTTGGGGAATTAGATAAAGAGTCAATTATTCCTTTATGTAAGGCAATAGAAAACCTCCTACTGTATATGTATTGACATAGGTGGGCATTTTAGGTAAGAGAAAGATCACATTAATAGCTCCTGGCATTAGTTAAATACCGTACATGCAGTATATAGGTTGTTGTAATAAGTGTAGAACAAATTACCTTTCTTTCACTAAGTTTTTGTTCTTCCCTTTTTGCTTATTTGGTATCAAAGGAATCGGTGCATATAAAAAGGGTGCATGGGTTCAAACAAAATCCACAAATGGGCCTTTGCTCCTGTGAACACTGTGGCTTCTTTAAAAACGTTAAGGTCTCTATCTGATATAACAGACTAAAATACTGACAGTGATCCAGCACTTTGGTACCACATGTCAATGACACTGACCGGCTTACCATGGTTGCTACTCATTGAGGTCAAGCTTGGTCACTATTACATCTAGCAACAGGCATCTCTCTGTATTGACCTGCAGTTTGCTGTGTATTTGATCATTTTGTATACATTTAGGGTTATAAGGTAATACACCTACTGTTTTCTCACAACTCTTGGGGCTTCCACAGTGGGTTCTCTAGTCACGACTCTTGGGGCTTCCACAGTGGGTTCTCTAGTCTTTTGTTTCTGGCTCTGTTCCTCTCCACCATGAGTTCTCCTTCCAGCCAACCCAGGTTTTTTATGGTCCTTCTGTTGAATTATCTATTAGCATAGTATAAAAGTCCAACTGGAAGTGTTGGATCCTCTTGATGTTGTTTTGGCAGGTGTACAGGTACAGGTCTGGGAACTCGCACACAAAAGTCTCACCACCTTTTGTCAGGAGACTTTGAGAGGTGTAAAAAGCTGTTCAGTAATTTAACTTTTCAGAATTGACCAAAAACTGAAGTCTCAGTTTACATGGCCTGGCTATTTAAAAGGGCTGGATTCTGTAGATATGTTGTTAGCTTTCATTAGTAGAACTAAAGGCCAAGTTTACCCAGTATTGGTACATCATATTTAGTTATTTACACAGATGCCTGCTTCTTGAATAATATCATATTAGATGTTTGCTGACAGAATTACTTTTTAAGAACTTCTAGCTCAGCAAATTGCATCCGAAGTCATTCCAATACCAAGCAACGAGTCAGTCTGCTCTATACATCTGTACTGGAAGTGCAACATATTGGAGAAACCTATTTTTACCAGTACGACACGCTAATATTGGACATGGTGGAGGAAGCATTGGTAGCTTTGGTAGGAGATACTTGCCAATAGGGAGTCATTAGGATCCAATACGCACCCAACTAGTTTGACTCATTGGAGTAAAATTACTAAAATATCTAGTATAGGCAAGGTCTAATGCAGACATTGAGGTTGTACAGGTCTTAAAGGTGGGAGAACCATTGCATATCATCAGTAGGGGAAGTTCATAAAGAAGGTTATTGTATAAGATGGTAATGTAGAATATACTGTTTAGTTGCATTGTGCACTGGGAGCTTCAAAAGGTTGTAGTTCTCCTTTTAAAGCAAATTCTACACAAAATTGCCATTTCAGTTTTGCGTGTTTACTGCATAGCTTGTTAAATGCTGGTTTTCTTCATCTCTAAGAGAATCCACTGTCTGCAACTGCTGTGGTCAGATCTACCCAGCAGCCATAGCCATTGCAAAGCCAAAATATGCTGTCACATATCACTCACAGTTTAGCAGATAATCTGCGAGTTAATGTAATCGTTATTATGATTATGTGGCAGAGCGTGGAGTTGCACACTATGGATGCATGGAATTCTCACCCTCTGAGTCTGCAAGAAACCTAAAAAATGGGTCCATTAGTACTCACCAAAACTAAAATATCCAGTTAGTCTTGTACTGTTCCTCACAAGGCCCCCCTAGATACACACTGCATATTAGGCTATATATTCCTGCACTTCATGTTTTACACATCTGAAATACTAAAATGATTAGTAATATTGTTAGGGAATCATAATTTACAGCAAATATACTATAGAGAAATAAATGAAGGAGAAAGATAAAGGCCCTTTTATCAGTTCTTCATTGTGTTTCCCCTTTTTGTTTAAAAAATAAAACATGTTGGAATGCTGGCTGGCCTCACAGAAATGCCACCGTAATACATCTTAGTCTCCCCATATCTAGGTACAGATGTTCCTGTATAAAATCCAGAGAAAAATGAAGGTGTTGCTTACCAAGTTATCTAGCATTTTGATATCTTGTTTGGCAATTCCCTAACATTCCTTTGCTCCATGTTTTATTAATAAGGCCCATGTCTTTAGTCCTGCTACCTATATACCGTGTTTCCCCGAAAATAAGACAGTGTCTTATTTTTTTTTTGCACGAAATAAGACACTAGGTCTTATTTTCGGGGGATGTCTTACCTGGCTGCAGCTGTGCTCTGCCGTCCAGGGAGCCACAAACAGGTGGGCGGGCATGCGTGCGGCCGGGGGGGGGCT